ACTTTGAGTAATTAATCTGACCGGTGTTGAAGATTCTTACTTTGAACTTTGGTTCCGAAGTTCTACATAACTTCGTTAAAGTCAAAGTTAAAGTATTTATGTGTGCGTCTTGGTGATACAATTTTTTTTAGGGAGGAAAATCTTCGATTGACTGCTCCCGCCTGGGTGAGGCGAGAGGGAGTGTCAGACTCTTACTGACTAAAAACCACCCCGTTCCTTCTCCTGCACGTCGAGCCGGAGCCCCGGTTACCCGTTAGGTTCTCCGCGACTTGGTGATACAATAGGTCTTACATTTATTATTATAGTAACACAAGAAACAGCCTATGGCATTAAGCATACACTATTAATTTAAAAGTATCAAAATCAAAGCATTTCTTTCAATCATTTAGGATGATGACAGGGTATGAAAATTAAAAATCTAATTAGTCCGTAAGTTAGGTAATGAAAAAATATTAGACATGTATTTTTTAATTTTGTCGTATAATAAAACAATACAAATTAGATAAAACGAATCAAAGGAGTGGGGGCTAAAACGTTATTTCTACGTATAAAATGTACATAGAAGTGACGTCACGCGACATTTCAAATCAATATATCGTCGAAAGTATTCGTTTCTATAAGAAAATAAAAAATACGTGTGTAATGATTTAAAAGAATCTACCAGACGGAAATAAAAATAAAAATTAGGCATCTATCCTATTGTTAATTAGGCACTTTTAAAACGTTAAAAAATGAATAGTTCGTCCGTCTGTCTGTCAGTGAAACTAGGCGCTCGTTCCAAAGTGTAGTTTTCGTTTAGTATGAATACTATTAACTTTAAAAGTATATTTTAAGTACCTAGGTAAGGTTGTCGCGGAGAACCTAACGGATTACCGGGGCTCCGGCTCGACGTGCAGGAGAAGGAACGGGGTGGTTTTTAGTCAGTAAGAGTCTGACACTCCCTTCCGCCTCACCTAGGCGGGAGAAGACATTCGATGATTTTCCCCCCTTAAAAAAAGGAGGTTAGGTTATTTATTGCGTTCTATTTCAGGAAAAGGTAGGCCGAAGAAGCGACATACTGTTTAACGTCACTAATATCCGTTTTTGCAAACACTGAGAAGTATGAAAAGAAAAACTAAATTTTTGTTCAGCCCAAAAACCGAATCTGAGACTGGGCGCGATAAGTTGCACTTGCGATTAACCCACGAAGCTAGTTGTTATTGTTATGTAATTGTGTGTTTAAATAATGTAAGATGCTCTTTAGGCTATTGATATACAAATACATCTTAGTTATCCTTTGTAAAGTAGATAGATAAACAGCTCTAGTACTATAGTGCTGTAATAATATTTATCTACATATGTAAAATAAGCACAAACTCACGCTATTGTCTCTCAATATGGTTAGACAGATAGATACTACAGCGCCTGAATAACCCTCGGTATCGTGAAAGGAAGAAAAAGCATTTATTCAACAGTAGGCACGCACACAGATACAAAAATTATACAAAATTAAAAAAGAAAGAAGAAATAAATACACATATTTATATATGTAGATATAGAAAAAAAACAAAGAAATGACAGAGTATATCAACACAGTGACATAGTGAGGGATATTCATGTCAAAATCAAAGTCAAAGTCAAAGCATTTATTTCAATTAAACCATAATTTGGTACTTTTTGGAACGTCAAAAAATACAAAATAAATAATAGTCTGTCAGTCAGTCCGTCAGTGAAGCTAGGTGAAGCTAGGTGCTCATTCCAAAATGTAGATTCGAATGGAGAAGAATGGGAAAGAAACTCTATGCGTTACTCTTTAAAAAAAAGTATGTTTTACAATGTACCTGATACATATTCCAATACTATACGTATATTAAGTAAAAACGCGGGTTACTCACGTGAATATCTCAGCTCACAGTGAGCTGCGCGACGTCGCCGCGACCGCGCACGCTGCTCATGAGGAAGAACCCCTCTGTGGTTCGAAACTAGTAGAGCTTTTCTCAGTATATTCACGTGAGTAACCCGCGTTTTTACTTAATTTAGTATGTCTCACGATAGTTATTATAAAAACTATACGTATATGTGAGAAATGCAAAAACACGATTGACACATTATATAAATTATAAAACTTACTCAAATAAAAAAACAAAACAAAAATAAAAAAATCTTATATCTAACATGGTCCTTCGAGCCGTATTAAAAATAATAAGTATGCTTCTCGGAGTTTTTGGGTATCAATTCTATCATTTGCTATTGTATCATTTTATATTATTTGGTACATAAGGTAAGGTAATTCGGAATGTAAGTGTTTGGTAACCACTACTAAGCATATACATACATACATTCATAACATCACGTCTGTCTCCTCCCATGGGGGTAGGCAGAGATTATGGAACGCCAATTGCTACGATTCCTACATACCTCTTTCGCTTCATCAACAGTCATCAATCTTTTCATGCATGCTCATCAGTTAAAGGTACTTTTAATTTGGCCCTTCTTTAACTCGTCGAGCACCGACATTATAGACACAATTATAGAACAATAGGTTGCGGTCACCGGTGACCGCTTGGTGTTTGACAGTTTAATATATCCCAAATTCAGTATATGTCCGTCTAGGGCACCCTCTACCGACGGCCCCATTCATATCCACTCTGTATACTTCTCTCGTTACTCTACTTTCATTCATCCTTTCTAGAGGTACATATCCAAAGCACCGTAACATTCCCTTTTCAATCCTTGTCATTACATCATCTTTCAATCCACACCTTTCTCTAATAACACTAATTTATCTATTCTATCATTTTATATATTTGTAACAATAATTCCGAATATGAGTGTTTGACAACCACTACCAAGTACTTTTATATAATTCAACTCCCAGCTTAACCCTCACGTTATTCAGCGCCATTTACCTATATTTTTTAAGAACTTTCATACCACTTTTCTGAATGGGCTGGCTCGACCGGAATGGTTAAGCTAGGGGTTGAATTACATAAAAGTACTTGGTAGTGGTTACCAAACACTTACATTCCGAATTATTGTACCAAATATATAAAATGATACAATAGTAAATGATAGAATTGATATCCAAAATCTCCGAGAAGCGTACTTATTATTTATGACGCTTAATTCGGCTCGAAGGACCATGTTAGATATAAGATTTTTTTATTTATGTTTTGTTTTTTTATTTGAGTAAGTTTTATAATTTATATAATACTAGTGACCCGCCCCGGCTTCGCACGGGTGCAATATGCATGTATTATACACATAAACCTTCCTTAAGAATCACTCTATCTATTAAAAAAAACCGCATCAAAATCCGTTGCGTAGTTTTAAAGATCTAAGCATACATACGGACATACAGCGAAAGCGACTTTGTTTTATACTATGTATTGATGTCAAGCGTGTTTTTGCATTGTTCTCACATATACGTATAGTATTGGAATATGTATCAGAGCAATGTAAAACAGACTTTTTTTTAAAAGAGTAACGAATGGAGTTTCTTGCTCGTTCTTCTCCACTCGAATCGACATTTTGGAACGAGCGCCTAGCTTCACTGACGGAGAGACTGACAGACTATTATATATTTTATATTTGTTGACGTTTCAAAAGTACCAAATTATGATTTAATTGAAATAAATGCTTTTGAGTTTGAGTTTGAGTTTGATACACATCACACCCAGACCCGAAACAACAATTTGTGGATCACACAAAGTGTTGTTCCGTGCGGGAATCGAACCCGAGATACATTGCACGGCAGCCGGTTGCCCAGCCACCGCACCAACCGTGGAGTCATGTAATGGTGGTAAGCTATGCTATGTCTTCAATGGAGCACATCGACCCATAAGTAACTTCTTCGGGCCTTGAAGACATAGGTTACTGAAGGCTCCAGCACCTCTGGTGTTGCGGGTGTCCATGGACGACAGGTGACACCATTATCAGGCCATCCTTCTGCTCTTTAGTCAACCTATCCTAGTTAACCAATTAAAAGAGTACTGTCTATTGTTTTTTTTTGACTAGGGTAACTTATCCTAACCCTTTTATTGTAGACTTTCTCCAAATAGGACAATAATTTACTTTTATGGCGGCCTTTACGGGCGTTATCATTCATATTATTTATTTACTTTAGTGCATAATGTTATAGGTACATGATAACGTTTACACCACACGATTTGATGATAAGATTTTACTAGTACATAGTCTAAGTAGGTTATCCACATTTAATGCAATACAATTTAAAGTTAGATAACATAACATAACATCACGCTTTTTATCCCCGAAGGGGTAGGTAGAGGTGCACATTATACCACTGTACAATGTAACACCTACTTTTCACTATTTATGTTATGAGTCCCATGTAATAGGGGGTGAGCCTATTGCTGTATACCGGACACAATTCCAGACTCCGTGCTACTACTGAGATTTTTTGAAAAGCCCAGTAATACTTTGCCTGATCCGGGAATCGAACCCGAGACCCCTTGCTCGGCAGCCGCAACTGCGACCATTCGGCCAACGAGGCAGTTAACATTGGCAACATTAGATATTAAGTACCTATAATGAATAAGCTGTGTTTGTTACGATTTAGATAAAGTGTAAATTGATATAGGTGTGTTTTCTAGATCCTTATAGATACTGTTAGAAACTTCTAAGTGCTACATCTGTGTGTTATTTTGGGGAATATATAATTATCTAATATATTTTACCAATTATAGAGATTCTATATGATTTTTGGAATAAAACAAAGTCATAAAACATATATAAGAAATACAAGAAAATCTTGCTTAACTAGTGTTCATAAAACTAGCAAAAACACCATTTATACCTGATCACCTTGACGTCAATAACTAATAACTAGACATACATTGCGAGCAAAGTACTGAGCTACAAATAACATTTTCAGACAAAACCATCAATGGACGCGCTCAATGGAAAATTAACTATATATCTATAAGTGAGTATATAATGTCTCATGTATATGTATATATTGACGATACTACCAATTCTCATTCATTCTTTAGCAGTGTTTGTGTTCGGACAAAAATATTACTAAACTCTAACAAATAGACAGTTAATAATAACTTACATATAAATATATGTATATGTTAGTTTGACAGGTCTTCAGTGTGTGTGTATGGCTGTGTGCCGGTGTTTTATGTAGTGTTTATTATTGTTTGTGTTATCAGTCAGTGATAGCGAGCGTGTTGAGAAACGATTAATAAAAGATGTGAGTATATTTCGTGTATATTTCGAGTACTTTCCTTAATAAAAAATAAATCATTTCGACTGTTCAATAGGTACAATAAAATATTTAAAAAATAATCACACTCTCATCAATTCATTTTATGACCAACTTAGTTTTAGTATTTTGTCCAGATATTTTTTAAGAAATTAGTATGCTGTTTAACGCTAAAAAAACGTGACGTCACAATACACAATCTTATACAAAAGTTATAGAATAGTGTTTTGTTTTTGACAGTTCGAAATAAGTATTTAATTTGACTAGTTGGCAAGTAACCACGTAGCTCACAGGTACTGTCATTGGTAGCTTATAGCCGTGTGGTTTAATAACTGATTAGAATAGAGTACAATTCTCATTTCACCTCTCTTGTTGCTTTCGCGGGCATTGTAGGATAGACAAGATATTGGCAAAGACTGGCCCGCAGACCTCTCTGATACACATGAACCTTTTAAACTGTGATACCCTTTCTTTTTGTGAGGGGGGAAAATCATCCAACTACTTCTCCCGCCTGGGTGAGGCGAGAGGGAGAGTCAGACTTTTACTGACTAAAAACCACCCCGTTCCTACTCCTGCACTTCGATCCGGAGCCCCGGCAATCCGTTTAGTCTTCCGCGGCTCCGTACCGGCATCAGCCCTGTTGTTGGACCCCATCTGTGGTGGTCTGAACTGCGACGCGCTGTATGCTCGGGATGGTTCTGGTCGGTCGGCGAGTCACCCATGCTCGCGCTCCGCAGGCCCGTACTTACGGTGGCCGGAGATCGTAAACTGCGATATCCTGGCGTGGAGATTTGCATTCTCCATATAGGACAGTAGTGAACTGGTCTTATTCTTGGCATTGGTGAATGCAACATTCGAACTAATTTAATAAACTTGTAACATTTACTAAAGGTTGAGGACTCGATTCTTGATCATGTGTTTAACAAAAAAATGACTTATTATTTTATTTAACAATACTTTTACATTTATCTGAGATTCTATCTGTTGTTTCGTTTGTACGTGGTACTGTATAATAATTATACATATATAAAAAATATTTACGAAATAGCTTTCTATTGCAATTTGAGTAGTTTGATTTCAGATCGTTGAATATGATAGATGAAATATTTCAATTTCAAACAATTTTTTTAGTATGAATGCAGTATGAAATTGTAACTCGTATATGGAAAATAATTTCTGTTTGTATAGCTTTCACCAGGTATCCAATCAGAGCTAGATTGGAGTGCGACCTTGGGCGAAAATAGATTCAGACCGGTACATACCTAATATTAAAAAATCATCACTGTTTTGTTATTCCAATGAAATATTTGTAAACTACACCTTAGTACTATGTAAATAAGTCCAATTAGTGATTGACAATGGATTGTTTAATACGAGCACGAATTGTAATCACAATATAAATATTAATAGTGCTAATTTGGGTCGTCATACTATAATTTTAAACCTAATACATACCAGAGCGCATAGAACGCAACGTAACTTCTCTCTAATTCATTATTTCCATAAAGGAATATATGATAATCAGTTTAGTCGTTTTCGAGATTGCCCCGTTCAGTCAGACAAACATTAGACGGTGTACTTCGTTTTATCATGTTTTGTCAATGAGTGAGTGTGATTGAACAAATGAGTCACTTTTTTATATTTATATCTACCTACTGCTTATATACCTAATACCTATGTATAGATACTGAAAGATAAACAAATTATCTATATCTAGAGATATCTCTATATAGTTAAGGTAGGATTTGGAGATATAGGGGATAAAAATCGGTAGAATTAAAGCTTATATATTTTTTATAAAAAATTCGTGGAATACAATTTTTTTTTTATTTTCTTTTTTGGCAACCGAGTCTCCAAAACGGTGTTGTCGACTATACAGCCAGTGTCGAGTGGTGACGACAAAATTAATGAACCGTCGAACTTAACTTTGCGGTAGTTTTTAGTTGTTAGTAGCTGGAAAGACAAGACAATTGGGTTAGTAAACATAGACATTATCAACGTGGAATACAATACAACAATACAAATCATAAAAATATCATGGAAACAAAAAAGTAGTATAAACACATTTTTTTTTCAAATTCAAATCGTTTATTCCGAACATAGGTCAAGTGTAGATTATTATAAAACAACTATAGCTTCTGCCCGCGACTACGGACGCGCAATCCCGTTTTCTCCTGTTCTCGTAGGATTTTCAGATTTTTTTCAGTCTTAAGAACCTTCATCTAATAATAAAAAATACAACAAAAATAGAATTAGTGAAATCGTTCCAGACATATAGAGGGAGATTTAGATTTTGTCCTCAGTAGGATATTATCGTATTTTGTCGGTTATGTTGCCAGTTTTATCGTAATGATGGTTGGGTCTATCGTTAAATACAGAGTTCGATTTCAAACTTCGGGATCTGTATAGATAGGGGAAATATTACAAAATTATAAACTCAAAAATAAACGTTTTCATTAATCAAAATCTGTCATCATCATCATCATCAACAGCCGAAAGACGTCCACTGCTGGACAAAGGCCTCCCCCTTGGTCCTCCACGTCGAACGACAACTCGCCACCTGCATCCACTGGCTCCCCGCAACTCTGGCGATGGCGTCGGTCCACCTAGAGGAATATAATAATATTATCTGTAGATTAACGAAATCAAAAACCAAATTATGTAGGTGCACAGGTTTTCGTCAATATTTTCAAACGTTATCAAACTTCTTATTACTATTAAACTAAATGGTAACCATTATCTATCTTTATTAATTAGACAAATAACTACATAAATATTTACAACTTAAAATTAACTACAACTAAACTATTAAATAAAACGAAAGTAAAAAAAAAAGAATACAACAAAAATTATTATACCCTTGAATGGCAGCATTGCCATTCAACGTGGCAATGCTGCCAGTCTTCTGGGAACGTTCCCTTGTGATAGTGATGCGGACGAATACTTTGACGCCTAAATTAAGGGTACCTATAATTTTTGTTGTATTCTTTTTTTACTTTCATTTTATTTAATAGTTTAGTTGTAGTTAATTTTAAGTTGTAAATATTTATGTAGTTATTTGTCTAATTAATAAAGATAGATAATTATAAAAAAAATGGTAATCCATCTTTAATTGACCTGGATCAGTGATAGCTTAACCTAATTGCGGTTTGCGTAAGTAACCGCAAGTCATTCGTCTTTCTAGTAACTTTGGTTGGTTAACTAGTTCAGTAGAATAATCGCAAACGGGTAAAAACTACCAGGCCAATGTTAGGTACAATTCATACGCGTAACAAGTAACAGTTTTTTTTAAAGGGGGAAATCATCGAATGACTGCTCCCGCCTGGGTGAGGCGGGAGGGAGTGTCAGACTCTTACTGACTAAAAACCACCCCGTTCCTTCTACTGCACGTCGAGCCGGAGCCCCGGTTACCCGTTAGGTTCTCCGCGACAACAAGTAACGGTAACGTTGCGTGTTGCTTGCTTTTTTTAAAAAAAAAGTCCCACACTAGGATTTTCTCCTGTGTCGTGGGTGCGTTTACAAACATACAAGTTCACATACACAATGACACCGAGACTCGGAACAACAATCTGCATCACACAAAGAGTTGTTCCGTGCAGGAATCGAACCCGTGATACGTTGCGCGGCAGCCATTTGCCCAGCCACCACGCCAACACTTGTATTCAGACTTGTGACGAGATTCAACATTCACTAGAGAGAACATTATAATAATATGAATAACACAACTGTCAAATACATAGAACATTCCTTATTTATATGTTCTGTGGTCGAATAGCTTAAGAGGCTGGTTAAGACATTAAAAATGTCAATAATTTTCACAAAAAAGAGGTTCTCAGTTTGATCTATATGTCTGTGCGCCATTATCTCATGAAGAGCTGAACCGATTTCGACGTGGTTTTTAGAAAATTATACTTAGTTGTACGTTTTAGCATGTTAATTAACCGACTTAAAAAAAGAGAGGGTTGAAGTCGGTTTTTTAAACCTAGTTTAAAATTAATTATTTATTAAATCATCATTATCATCATTTATCACTTTCCGTCTACAGCTGGCTTTAGGGCTGTCCAGTACTTTGCCACTGCGCCATCATCAACTTTTCGTTTCCATCATCAATTTAACATCATACACTTTATTAATTGTGAGAATCAAACCAAAGATCTTACTTGGCAACACCACTCGATCAAAGAGATACAACATCTCCAAAAAATAAATATAAAATAAGATTTCATATTTATGTAAGTAGGTCCAGTTATCTAGTCACGGTACAAAGTCCAGCCGTTAGCCGGCTGAGAATAATGGGTTCAATGTCCATGTCGGACAAAGTCCAGTAAATAATAGCTTTCGAGTTTTTACGTCTCATCTTGACTATTAATAGTTACATAGATATGTTTTTTAGAGATCGGTCGGTGTAGAAATGAAATCTGTCGTCGGCGATATTTCCGAACCGATACGACCTTCAAACGTTCAAGAAATGAGCGTATTTTTTTTAAAAGGCCGGCAATGCACCTGTGCCTCCTCTAGTGTTCCGGGTGTCCACGGGCGGCCCTGATCGCTTACCATCGTTTGATCCATCTGTTCATTTGCCTCCTTTTTTTATGGCATAAGCCGGTAAACGAGCTGACGGATCACCTCATAGTAAGCAATCGGCGTCGCAAATGGACACCTCCTATACCAAAAAAAAATAGGAGTCATACCTACATAGATACGGACATTCCGTATAAAATGTTTTAGCGTCAGAGGAACCTGGATATTTTTGTAAGGAGTATTTTAACATTCTGTTTTGTTTAGTGTAGACGATTGAGAGTAAGATGTTTTTATGGACCCACCTTCTTCCGACGCCATCCTCAATCCCCTAAAGCTTAACAATTCTCAATCCCTGAAAGGTCGGGAATGCACTTGTTACTTTTTTAGTTTAGCGGTTGTCCATGTGACGATTGCTTACCATCAGCTGATCCTGTCTGGTCGTGTGCCACTTTATACCACAGAAAAAAAACTGTACTGGAAATGTTTACCCGATTACGGGATCAAATCTTTACGGATTCAGACATTGCATTCACTGTCGAGCAGTCGCACTTAACAACTTTCACTTAAATACTAAAGTCAAAGTCAAAGTCAAAATCATTTATTTCAATTAGGCCAGAATGGCACTTTTGAACGTCAAAAAAATATTAAAAGTGAAGCTATTTGCTCATTCCAAGGTATAGATTCCTATGGAGAAGAACGAGCAAGAAACTCCATAGGTTACTCTTTTTCAATCAGGTTCACAATACAATTTACTAGTTACATAGTTTTGCTGTTTGGATTGTGCGAGAACAGGTTTCTTTTACTATTTTATAAGCCGACGTTTGACCACTATCTCGCCTGGGTGTAAGCGATGTGGATTACGATGGAGCACGTCCGTCTATTCACTGGGGCCTTGAAGACACCCAGACTCTGGCAAAGAATTCCACTCCTTAGCAGTTCGCACAAGGAAGCTTGAAGCGAAGCGCTTCGTGCGTGTGGGTGGGATATCCACCATGAATCAGATTTACAGATATTACCTGTTAATAGGTACACATGCACCCACCGTATTAGTGTCAGACTTAAAAATATTGCTGAATTATAAAACAAACTCACAATTCGTGCTTAACCGGATTTATCACATGTTATAAAACTGGCAAGTTAAACAACCCGTTTATGAGGTCCAAAGTCCACTCTATCCGGCCAGTGATAACGGACTTTGCACTTATCTATGAGGAAAAAAGTAAACAAAACGGTTATCTACTAGATACGAAAAGGAGGCAGATAAGAATGTCCTATCTAATATTCAAATTTGTGAAAGTTTGTTTGTATGTAGCGGTTAACCGTCTAAACTGCTGATTACATTTTGATGTGATTTTGGTTTAAAGATATATTGGATAATAGAAGCTATTTTAGACATGTATTATATTACGCCTGATACTCGTTAAACGGGTAGGCTGAGGTGCATGCAATTATGAATATGTCACTCTGTTGGATTTATTATAAATTTCCCATAAAATTATGGGATGATGTAAAGATTGACGAAATCTATACTAAGTTTGACGCAAGGAGATTTCGCGTGAAACAGCTTGTATCATAATTTTGCTTTTTGCGACAGAAGTCCAAAGGTCGATCAATGTATTATAAGCTTTGGACTTTGGCGAGAACCTCAGTAGTCTGCTGTGTGTAACAGTGTTTGGTGTTCAGTGACGACGCGCCCTTTCAGACTTAGAGGATAAGGGCATAAGGTACATTTCTGTTTGTTTTTTATTTTCTTTATATTGTTATTGTTAGTTTTTTTGAAATGATGAATAAATTAAATAATTAATATTCTTATTTTTTACATAATTTATGAATTAAAAATTTTATAGTAGGTTAGGTTAGGTACCATTGCAATTCATTTCGTAATACCTACTACCTGGAACTTCAATAAATATTTGAAGAATATCATAGCTGAAGTTTGAAGCATTTGCACACATGCACATAGGAGGATTGTTTTGGTGACTTGTGTATATACCTACAAGTATACACGATGGACACAAGGCTACACAATGAGCTTTACATAACCAGTATAAACTGAACGTTAAATTTGCGGAAAGATGATGGGACGCGACACCAGGATAAACTGGTTTTGTATAGATTGATGTGTGGCCTTGTGTACCTATCCATGTAACAATACTTTGTGAATACA